ACAAAAGAATGGATTAAACATTAAGCTCTTGCCCTCTTGGTTGAGACCTTGTCACTATTACATCATGCAATGGAAGGACCCGAAGGACAATCAATTTAATGTAGTTTGTCCAAAAACTGAAAAATGCTAATAATGAAAAACCCTTACAGAAGATAATCGAAAATCACTAATCTTATGACAGAGGTTATGATTTTCTAATTTTAGGATAGAGTGGGATGAGTAGACGATTTACAGAGGCAATCAATAGTTATGGTTTGAACCTTAGCAGTCTATTTGTAGGTAGCAGATAAATCCTAAAGCATTTCAAATTCTTGAATATAATCCTTATATCATTTACAACATGCCATATATCCCTGCCAGGGTATATGCCAAAACCATTCACGGTTTCTTTCTAGACGCTTCTGGAATATTCCAGTAAATCTCTATGATTTAATTAATATTTAAGCTTTTTAATTAATTAATTTTTTTTAATAATTCTAAAATAATTTTCAGTAAATTTATTAAACATTTACCAGATTAATAATTTATTTTTCTCTATTTTTCTACCCAAAAGTCACTCCTATAATTTAAAATATTACCAAAAAAATTTAAGACCTTTGACATTGTATTGAATGATTATCTCTTATAATCATGCCCTTTTGTTTAGGGGTGTGATAAAAACCAAAACTGAATAACCAAATCAAACCAAATGTTGTTTTGTTTATTTGGTTTGGGTTATTTCTTTTTCGGTTTATTTGGTTTGATTAATCGAATAAGGATAACCTATTTGGCTTGATTTTGGTGAAAATTTCGTTGCTTTGGTTAAACCAAAAAAAACTGAAGGAACGATTTAATATATATATATATATATATATATATATATATATATATATATATATATATATATATATATATATATATAAGGCTAAGTTATAATGTGGATGGACAATTATGGTGCAAACGTGTGGGCAGCGGTATTCTATGAGAATTAGTAAGAGAATAAGTTGTTTAGTAATGCAAATACTTTCAACCTTACACAAATATCGTTATTTTTTTGCATTCTCACTAATTCTTATTTATTTGTGTTCTCACACACCGGTTTTCACTCATTTTCATTCTGACAGAATACTAATTAATAAACATTGTGACATCATTCTGACAGAATGAGAATAATAATAAAAATTCTTTAATAAACTTATAAACGATTTAATTAGTGACAATATGTGTTAATGATAATAGTTATGTAATGTTGAACGTATTTACATTATCAAAACACATATTTTCTTTGACATTCTCACAGAATAGCAGTGTCTACACGTACGCACAATAAATGTCAATCCAGTTTGAACCTCTCTCTCTCTCTCTCTCTATATATAATATATATATATAATATATATATATATATATATATATATATATATATATATATATATATATATATATATATATATATATATATATATATATATATATATATATCAACATTTTATATTAAATTAATTGATTAGTTACTAATTTATAACTCAGTTAACCATTATAAACTTATAGTTGTTTTATATTTTTTATTAAAAAGTAAAAAAAAAATTAACCAAATCCCAATTAAAATTTTATGAATCTATCTCTACAACTTATGATTCTATATTTGCTATTCGAGAGAACAATATCTTATATATTAGTGTACTTCATTTATTTGGTACTTCATTTATTTGGTAATAGTTTAGTAAGTTGTATTTCTTTCGGTTTAATATTTTTTTACGTACCAAATTTTATTCGGTTTAAATGGTTAACCGAACCAAATAAAACGAAATCGATTCAACCGAACGTTACCTGGTTTTGTAATGGTTAGATTTGAAATTTTAAAAAAACTGATAAAATGAAACGGATTTAACCGAAAGCCGAAGACCACACCAAATAACACCCCCTACTTTTGTTTCTTCACCTTGCCACTTGCAAATTTAAGTTTTATTTAATATATTTTTTGTCGGTTACAAAAATTAAATAACTAAGTTTTATTGCTTACACAATAAAAAAAGACTATGGCTTTTAAACTTGATTAAGTTAGACCCACAAATGACTCGTTATAAAATTAATTAATCTCCACCAATAAATCAATCATCCAAGAGTTTTGTAACAATAATCGTGCAACCTGAGATATTCTTCTTTCGAAAAGAAAAATATATGATCAATCAAGTGCGTATTAGAATAAATTTATTTTGTAGCGGGTATGCAGTATTTATATATAGATACATTTGTTATATTAAATAAATTATATACATTAATTTTGTAATTGGTATCATTTGTTATGTTATATCAATTATATTAGACTCAGTCGCATGTTCTAGTCTTATCAAGTGGGTATAACAAACCATGGATGGTATTTTCCACCAAGTATTTTAATGCTCTCAAATATTATAAGACGACTTCAAATCTTCAAAATTTTGGAGTAATCCAATAGGGTAATAAAATAATTTGTAATTTTATGTGTATATATATAGATGAGGGGATGGGGAGGAGTAGATGCATACATTCATACATAAAAGGTAAAGATTATACTCTTCTCTTATTGATATTCTATTGATATTCTTTCATGATGGTTTTATTTTGTGGTATTAACTAGTAAAGAAAATTTAGCATTTCTTATATATCAATTATATTCGACTTTGTCTGCATGTCTCAAATACATCATTAATACTTCGACGTTAATTAGCTTAATAAAATTTCTAGAGTTTATTTGCCTGATATGATATTATATATGTATCAATTGAATCATTTACATGCTTTATTTGTATGTATCGTAGATGAATTTTGATTTTGTGAATTAACCTCATACATGCTCGGATTTGTCATCAATATGCAGGAAAATAGAAGAAACACTCGAATAAGAGCTCACATAATAATCGGTTAGTCTTCAACTTGAATAGTAGTATAGTTTTATGCTCTCTCTCTCTCTCTCTCTCTCTCTCTCTCTCTCTCTCTCTCTCTCTCTCTCTCTATATATATATATATATATATATATATATATATATATATATATATATATATATATATATATATATATATATATATATATATATATATATATATATATATATAAAGGTAGAGTTTATGTGAGAACAAAAGTCATTCAGAAATAATAGATACATTTCTTATATATTTCAGATGCCAAAAAATTAAAAATAAAAATTTTAAAAAAGTATTTAAAATTTTCAGAATTTTTTTTATTTCCATAAAAATATGACATGCAAATATTCTAGTAGAATATTGCATTCGTGTTAGAATTATATTTTCGGAGAAGAATATGAATAATATATTTTTTTAAATAATATTGTATTACACATATAAACTGTGATATTGTTAGTTTTGTTATTTTTTTTTTATATTTTTGAGAAAAAAAATGAAGTAGAAAGTAACGAGAAGAATTAAAATAATATGATTTTTTTCAATATTTTTTAAAATGAACACTTGAAGATGTATATATATATATATATATATATATATATATATATATATATATATATATATATATATATATATATATATATATAAAGGGGTATATTATTGTGATCTAAATATGTATTATGTGATTATATGATTGATTGTGGGCCAATCATTTTAGTTATTTTAAAAAAGTAAATAATACATATTAAATGTTGAAGACATAATGAATATTAATTACATCTTCAACATTTAATACATATTAATTAGTTTATTTTAATAATTAATATTATTTATCTATGATCAATCGTAAATATATAGTAAAAAACATTTAAACTATATATATATATATATATATATATATATATATATATATAGAGAGAGAGAGAGAGGGGGGGGGGGGGGGGGGGGAGGGGGAGTTATGATTAAATATTAACTACAAAAATATTATTGAATGTATAATCACTTCATGTCTTTTAGATTATAAAATAATACTTATATGTACACTTAATTCATTATAAGGAAAATTCGAAAGCATGGTTAGTAAATATATATTGAATTTTAGGATTATAACCATGAGAATAATACTTTGGAATTGTATTTCATTTTTTCTTATATAATCGTAGAAAATAAGTATTTAAGGATATACAACATTCTATATGAGTTTTAAGGGTTTAAGGATATAATTCATAGTAAATTAGTATAACATTCTTTTAGAATTTAGTGGCCTTTATTACATGAACTTAAAGTTGGAGGAAAAGTAGAACATATTCTAAAAAAACCTAAAATTATCACATGGATTTGTGAATCACATTAGTTGACAAGTAGACATGGACAAATCACTTCTACTATATTTTAATCCTGTTGCAATCAAAATATTCAAGATTAACATTCTTTGAAAAGTAAATTCTATGAAAATAAACTTTAGAATGTAAACTAATCGTATTATTTAAGAAGGTACATCAATTACAATTTGTATTATAAATGCAAATAAATACAATTTACAACGCTCGAAGAATTCGACATTCATGAAGAGTGTTTGACTAAAAATCCATATTCAAGCGTGAAGAATTCATATATTCTTCAAGAATTAAAGGAGTATTGAAAAAAATCAATCATTAGTGAAGGACTCAAAGGTTAAAATCAATTTTAAGATTTTAACACCACAATATTTTTGCACAACGGAAGAATTCTTGATGAATTCAAATTTTTTTTTTTTTTTTTTTTTTTTTTAAATGCTTGAAGAATTCAAGCCTTGTGCATGAATAATTGAAGCGAAGATGATGATATCGAACTTCAACAACGCATCATTATTTTTACACATTAATTTTGGTTGACACTAGTAAAAGTCAAATTCGGTGTGTAATTTGTGGGTTTTTCTCATACAAAAGTTTGAGGGCTATCATAAATTTTAAACTAAAAAAAAAATTGATTAATAAAACGTTGCATGTATATTGTTAAATTAAATTACATTTATTTGAGAATGTAACTTAAATAACTTCTACAAATAAAAAATAAAAAATCTAAGAACCATCAATATATTTTGTGAAAATATTCTTTGTTTACTATTCTCAATGGTAGTTATTATGCACAAATGCATATAGTTTTGAAAAGTTAACTGAGCATAATCATCAAAATGAATAGTCATTATGTTTCAAATGCAGGTTTTATCTGAAGCAATCATGGATAAAAAGGTTGGTGTGGCTATTGGTATTGACCTTGGAACAACATATTCTTGTGTGGGTGTATGGAAGAATGACCAAGTTGAGATCATATCCAATGATCAAGGAAATAGGACTACGCCATCTTGTGTTGCTTTCACGGATTTCGGTCGTCTAATAGGTGAAGGTGCAAAGAACCAGATTGCTATGAACCCCACCAACACCATTTATGGTTTGTATTTAATTAATTTGCTCCTTTGTTTTAAGCTCTTGGAATTCAAAAAATTGTTATCAGTCATTAATTAATATAAATTTGGTGGATTTTCAGATGCAAAAAGAATGATAGGAAGGAGATTTAGTGATACCAAACTTCAGGAGGACATCAAGTTATGGCCTTTCAAGGTCATAAATGGTACTCGTGACATTCCGAAGATCGTAGTTTCATTCAATGGTGAAGTGAAGGAGTTTTCTGCAGAGGAGATTTCATCCATGATTCTTATTAAATTGAAAGAAGCTGCAGAGAAGTTCCTTGGTAAAACTGTACATGATGCAGTCATTACGGTACCAGCTTATTTTGATGATTCCCAACGCCAAGCAACAAAGGACGCTGGTCATGTTGCTGGACTTAATGTTCTACAGATAATCAATGAGCCAACCGCAGCAGCAATCGCATATGGATTAGATATGAGAAATGACATAGCTCGTCAAATAAATGTGCTCGTCTTTGATTTGGGTGGTGGTACCTTCGATGTCTCTCTTGTCACCATTGATAATAAGGGTACGATAACAGTTAAGGCTGTTGCTGGTGACACTCACTTAGGTGGTCAGGACTTTGATAACACAATGGTTGACTATTTTGTGGAACAATTTAAGAGAAAGCATAGGAGAGACATGAGTGAGAATAAAAAAGCACTATCTCAATTGAGGGTAGCTTGTGAAAAAGCAAAAAGAGTTCTCTCTTCAATTATTGATACTACTATCGATATCGACAACTTGCATGATGGTATTGATTTTTCTATGAGAATATCTCGTGCAAAGTTTGAAATGCTTAATGAAGACTTCTTTAGTAAGTGTATAGAGATGGTGGAGAAGTGTTTGTGTGATGCAGAAATGAAAAAAAACGACATAGATGATGTAGTATTAGTTGGTGGGTCAACCAGGATACCCAAGGTACAACAATTGTTGAAAGACTTCTTCCAAGGAAAAGAGCTTTCTAAGAAAATTCATGTTGATGAGGCAGTTGCACATGGTGCAACAGCTCTTGCTGGAAAATTAACTGTTTGTTTTAGGGGAAATGATAAGAACTTAGTGTTAAGAGATGTTGTGCCTCTTTCACTTGGTACAGATCTGTATGATGGCTCATTATCTATTTTAATTAAAAGAAATTCCCCAATACCAGTCAGGAATGAAGAAACTTATGAGACTGTTATGGACGACCAAAAGATTATAGATTGCAATGTCTATCAGGGTGAGAGAAGTAGGGCTCAAGAGAATAATTGGCTAGGAAAATTCCAAGTTGAAGTTCCACCTGCGCCAAAGGGTGAGTCAAAGGTAAGAGTGGTCTTTGCCGTTGATGCTAACGGTATTTTGAATTGCTCAGGAGTAGAATTATCAACTGGCCGAAAAAGAGAGCTTATAATCACCAATGACAAGCAGAGGCTTACGACAGAAGATATCAAAAAAATGCTTGATGATGCTATTAAATACAAATTACAAGACGAGGAGTACAAGAAGAAGGCTAATATACGTAATGCATTGGAGGCCTACATTTATGATGTCAAAAGAAAAATCAAGAGAATAGAAAACTATACTAAGATGCTTCATAAGAAAGAATTGGAAATAATGGAAATCGCCATAGAAAAAGCAAATGAAATTCTTAATGAAGGCCAACTTGATTTGGATGGGTATGAAAATGAGCTAGATCATTTGAAAATGGTATGTCCGCCATTCATTTCCAAACATATTTAGACAACATTTTCTTAATCATGATGGAGAATTGGTTTGAGTGTCATCTACTATAAAGTATGTGCTATTGTTTGTAGTTTTCAATAATAATTTACATTTGAGTGTTTTTTGGATTTTGTATGCGAGTGAAGAATCAATTGATTTCAATAATATTTCTACTATTTACTGTCAATAAATATATTTCTCTTTTCAAGTGTGTACGACATTAGAACTATTGCTGGTGATATTTAGCAAAAGATCAGTAATGGAATTATCCCTAGGATAAGTAATCCCCATTGGAACTTTTAGTTTTAGCGAAAGAGAAACCAAAAATTTATCATCAAATATGGTAAAAGAACATTGCTTACAAAACAATATGGCAACAACTTAGTTCATCTTAATGGCAATGGCAAATTCTTTTATTTTTTGCGTTAATCCCTCACAAAGTTTCCATTTTCTTCATTTGTGAGCATTTTATCATAGGTTTGTTTCTATTTCTACTAAAATAATGGGCATAATCTTTTTTCTTTTACTTAATTTCCTTTCATACATGTTTCAAATTCAGTACCAAATATATAAAGAACATGAAAATTAATAGCTTTTAAATTTGCAACCAAAATAATATGCAATAATAAAGCCTACAATGCGATTATAAAAGATAAGCAAACTTATCAAATGAAAATTACAATTTGTAAGAAAAAGTACAATGCCATATATTAGTGTGTAATGTCCTAATAAAAACTAAAGATTAGCAAACCATGTTTTGTAAAGCTATAATTTCCAAAAGTATTGCATTTTATGTTTAAAATTGGATGAACTTTTGCTTGTGATGTTTGGTTAAATGACAATAACAAATAGTGAGTAAATTTATTATTATAACAAAGCTTGATACAAACTAAATTGTAATAAGTAATAACACTAAGTATAATGCCATAATGGCAACAAAACTGAAAATATGATGTTGTAATTGGTAGTCAAATTCAAATGAGTTTAAAGTTTCAATGTATATATAAAAAGTACCTTAGATTTTGAAAGTATAATGACTTGATAAGTTAATATGATAGATTTAAATTATCATGAATAGATATGGTAGATTTTCAAAATACAAATTATAATGATTTAAAGGTCATTAACTTAATTCATCAACTTAACATGGTCTTGTGACATAGAGGTATATCAATGTTCTAAAAATCTCCTCACCACACGTCATGACCCTAAGGCTTTTACATGACATCACAAATGAATAATAGTAGACACTATATAACTGATCAAAAATCTAATTAGGTTTCACAATCAAATTAACTAATGAAGCAGACTCATCAATGTACCAACATGTTCAGAAGACGTAGATGTTGTGGATTTTCCGTAAGAAGTTATGAGAAAACTTAAGAATGCAACTGGTTCACTAGTAAAATCGATTGAATAATTTGGGAGAATAAAAATTGGAATTAGGGTAATAATTAGGGATTTATAGGTTACAGAAATTCAATTTCAATTTAATATAACTATTTGAAATCCCATACCCATTATTATGTTTTCAAGGGTCTAATAAAAATCTACCAGCACATCATGCCTTCAACGGTAAGATAATTCGCTTTTGTTGCTAGAAATAGGGTAATGTTTAAGGTGTTTCAACACAATCATGTTGACAATAACTACAATCATAAATAGAAAATTTGTAAAATCTTTGTTTAAGTTGTTTTTACTTGTAACCTCAAGGACTTTAACTGTGTTTGTGTGAATATGCTACAGAAGTATAAAAGAAATCTCATATATCGTGATAATGATATATAATCATAAAATTAGACTTTGTAAAACCTCGGCTCAAGTTGGTATATACTTGAAACATTATGGGTTTTAAGTGCAAATATGTGATTTTGCTAAAGATGAAATAGAAAGAAATAGGTAAGGTTTTGATGGGTTTTATAGGTTACTAAAACATGTAGAGGAAAATCTTAATCCCTAAGTTTCATTGTCACACCCCCAAACCAAGGATGGCGGAAACATCCGGGGGTGGAGGACTTCATGTATAGTATCATAACAACAAATATAATAGTGCTCAAAGTATAGACAATCAACATAAATATAATTGAAAAAGTTACATCATAGTATATGTTTACATGTTACTGAATCAATTACATTATGTTGACAAAAATGAAATGTTTGACGCCTTAGCGCTCTATCCTCAAAAGCGGCCGATTACCTGTTTATTGATTCCCTGAAAATACAAGTAATTTTGAAAAAGTGTCAACAAGTAAGTTGGTGAGTTCATAAGCTTTTGAAAGTGATGCTAAAATCCTTTTCTTGTAAAAGTGATATTTGTTCGAGAAAAATCCAATATTTTCCTTATGTAATGCATTATAGTCTTAAAAGTCTAGACCGAAATGTATAAGTATTTTACCATACTTAAATAAATTTATGCAAGTTTAAATCGACATAAATTCATTAAATTTAGAAGTAAAACCCGTAAATCTTATGTTTTGTTAATACTCCATGTGAGTTATTATAACCATACTATGACTCAGACAGCCTCGTAATACGACGTTCTTCAGACGTCGCAAGTTAAATGAAACTTGTCACCCCAGACCTGCCGGTCTAGCTGTTGCATGCAGCTCAGGTGTGGGTTTGTCAGACCTAAAATAGATGTACACACAACTATTACGTTCTCCCTACCACAGAATCTGGTTACAATTTACAGGACTTTTGATTTCGTTACTTTGGAAGTAACGCGGAGCGGATGTCTCACAAATTTATTCATTAACAGATTTACGTAATGTGAAACTGAAACCCCTTTTTAGTGAAAAATAACCCTTTCGTAATGTATAGGAAACATAAACTATACCTATTATAGTTTATCAAAATATTTGTAATGTGTAGTAACCTTTTCTATGTAAGTGGAATGTGCAGCGATACATAACTTTATTTACTATGCCTTAACATACATTAGTAGTATTGATAACGAAATCTTACAATTTAGTGAACACTTTTCTGTTACATATTTATAACTCAACAGAAAACACATGCGAAATATGAATTTATCAAGATTTAACACTATGCTCAACATGTTACAAAGTGCTATTAAAGCTGTAAGCTGTAAATTTCGTTTTTACTATTTCTGCATTGAATTAGAAAAATCACAAAAAATTCATATGACATCGAAAACTAGATCTGTAAACTCTGAGAATTTAGAAAATGTGTCTAGTTTGTTCACAAATTTTTTTATGATTCTTAGAGGTCTCTAACTTGTGTAAAAATGCCCATATTCACAGACTGGTTCGAATTTGTAGCTACAGTGATAGACAGTTTTGTAAAAATCGCCATAACTTGTATAAGAATCGTATGGACATGTTCAATTTGTCATTTTAAAGGTATAAGCCTGAGCTACTTGCATCTAATACAGTTTTGAATCCTAAAAAGTTTAAGGTGTTCAAAACAGTGCGTGAATGAACATTAACTTTTCTGTTGAAAGCTGATGTTTGTGTTTAGTTATGTTCTTGGTGTTTTAACTTGTATTCACCCCCATAAAACTTAAAAAAACATGAAAATATAGTACTCACCTTGTGTGATTTCAGTGGATGGATGTTGAAGAAAAGAAGTGTTCAACTCAAGAACACTTAGAAGATTGCTTGAAGATTCGAAGATCTAACACAAATATCATGATGTTTGTGTAAGAAACCTATTATTTGAGTAGAAAGATCTGGAATAACCATATAAAGGATAATATTACTTACCAAAAGTAGATGAAGAACTTGGAAATTGTCCCTTGAATCTCGAGATTAGAGAGGGATAGTGAGAGAGAGAATGAGTTTTTACTTCTTGGTGGAGGGTGAGTGAAATGGGAGGAGAGATAAGGATTTCAAGCTTTTTTTCAATAGAATGGCTTGAAAAATGGTGGGAAAAAGATGATGGAAGGACAAGGCATGGTGGAATAGTGACTGGGGATGGTCATGGAGTGGGTATGGGAGGTAACTTGTGTCCTTGCCCAAAGGATAAGTCAACACTCCACCTAAATAACTTACCCATTATATTTTAATCTTAGATAATGATTACCCTCAAAATGTGATTAGATTATGAAATATGGGGTCTCATATGATAAAATATAAGTTTAGGTGAAAATCCCACGTTAAAATCATGAAAAACGGGCCTAAAACGAAGTCGTGGTCGAAAACCCGGAAAAAGATGCGAATTTTCGGAAATTTGGATTCAGGGCTGAAGGTTTGGTCTTATAGGGTGGGAACCGAAGATAGGTTCGGTTGGGGTGAGAGCCGAGAGGAGGTTCGCAGGAGAGAGGAAAAGGAGCGAAGGCGAGACCGGGAAGGAAGCGAAGGCGAAAGTTAGGTTCGGTCCAAAGGGACCTTCGGGTTCGGCTCGCGGGCAGTTTCTGTTCCCAGCAGTTTCGGTTCTCCTGCTTCGGCTTCGGTTCCTCATAAGAGTTTCGGTCCTTATGGGTTTCGCTTCTTAGGGTTTTGGCCCTAAGAAGGTTTGGCCCTATAAGGCTGATTTTCGCATAAACCCCCCGTTTTGCGTAGGTTTGGTTTAAGTTAAGGGTCAGGATGACCCGAATGACTATAGAAAGTTAAAGGAAGATTTGAGGAAGACTTGGGAGAGATTTTTAATAGAGAGAGATAGAGTGAAAGAGATTGGGAGAGACTTCTTTTGTGACCTTCTTGAGTGTTTGGCTTTGTAACGCAAGGTCTGTAAACCCCGTTAAGCCATGTTTAAGGATCTAACACACCCCCGGAGGGTATGCGATAGTGTTTTATCGTTTTGCTACATCACTTACCCCGATTAGGGTTCAAGAATCCTAAACATACAAACTTTCCAAGTGATAAATTCTTATTAAAATAGCGAGTTGAACAATAATTACATAACGTAAACCCTAGTATACAAGGGTTAGTTGAGTTGACCAGTTTGACTTGTTGACTTTATTTGACTTTGACTCGACTAGAAATTGATGATTGTCACATCATCCCCCCGTTAGAAAGAATTTTGTCCCAAAATTAGCTTTTTGACTGGGACTTCAAGAATTTAGGAAGAGATGCGGATACTTTTGCGTCATTTGATCCTCACGTTCCCATGTGAATTCGGGTCCTCGCTTAGCGTTCTATCGGACCTTCATAATGGGAATACGACTTTACTTTGTTCTTTTTATCTCTCGATCCATGATTTCTACCAGTTT